CTGTGGAGAGCCGACCTTGCGAAGCCAGAATTGCTTGTGTTTTGCGGGCCTTAAAATGGGGTCGCCCGCCCCAAAGGTGACTCTAGCATTTCTGAACAGAGGAGATCAAGCCATGCAGATTTATATCAAGAAGATGGGCCGGAACAGATCATACAAGAGCGGCGGAATTTTCTGGAAGGCATCTCCACCAGATCTGAACAGGACTTCTTGAGCTGTGTACTGTAGCGGCCCCTACTAGTGGACCTTGCGCCGCTGCAATTCCTGCACCCCAAAACGTGGGTCCCCAAAGCGGCCCTTGGCCTCATCTCCCGTTGGTAGCTTTGGTGCTACTTGCGGCCCCATGATCGGCGCGCCCCAAACAGTGAATCTAGAGCACACACGCACACAAGAGGCACCTCAGCTCCTGCTCTTGGCGCTGCTTTTGCTTTCGGCGCCATGGCTCTACAAAGCAGGTCGCACTGAGAACCTCATGCTGCGTATCTGACAGCAGACCGGAGCTCACACACGAGAGTACCATCGCCGCAAATGTCGACAGTGCTTTGCGCGCACGCAGCTGCTCGACTCTTTGATAGCGAGCTGCTGACAGCAACTTCTGGAACAACGGTCTTGGCTTCAGGGAAGCGTTCCCTTTTGAGCTTCCTTAGGGATGCACGCAAGGAGTTGCTAACAAGCGACCTACACAAGACGCCTCTGACCTTCCACTGCATCAATTCAACCGCCATGTGTCCGCTTCAAGTACTGTGAGGGACTGACCTGCCGCATGGAAAGTCTGACCGCTTTCTGGCCACCAAACCGGGGTCAGAAAAGCTCCAAAACTGGGTCACAAGGATGTGGTCAACACACGATTCATGAGGTCTCGTACTACCTGTTCCTCGGCCACCCGGAGGCGGTGGAACTTGTACAACATTGCCGGAAACGGTGTTTATGCATTGCAAACAGCTGAGACTTCTAATCGGAAAGGACGGGGTGCAAAGGTGCATTCTTTCAAGAAAAAGTGAACTATTGAATACTTTTCTCTTGTTGCCCTAAAGCCCTGCGCCTTTGCACCCCCCCCCTTCTGCAGATTCTCCCCTAAACCCTCCCTTGCAGGTCCTCCCAAAACCCTCCTTTCCAGATCCTCCCTAAACCCCTTTCTGCAAATTCCCCTAAACCCTCCCTCAGGTCCTTCCCCAACCCTCCCTTGCAGATCCTCCCTACACCCCCTTCTGCAGATTCTCCCCTAAACCTTCCCTTGCAGGTCCTCCCCAAAACCCTCCCTTCCAGATCCTCCCTAAACCCCTTCCTGCAAATTCCCCCAAACCCTTCCTTGCAGGTCCTTCCCTAAACCCTCCCTTCCAGATCCTCCCTAAACCCCTTTCTGCAAATTCCCCTAAACCCTCCCTTGCAGGTCCTTCCCCAACGATCAACCCTACACCCCTTCCTGCAAATTCACCTAAACCCTTCCTTGCAGATTCTCCCCTAAACCCTCCCTTCCAGATCCTCCCTAAACCCCTTCCTGCACATTCCCGTAAACCCTCCTCCCTAAACCCCTTCCTGCACATTCCCGTAAACCCTCCCTTGCAGGTCCTTCCCTAAACCCTCCCTTCCAGATCCTCCCTAAACCCCTTTCTGCAAATTCCCCTAAACCCTTCCTTGCAGATTCTCCCCTAAACCCTCCCTTCCAGATCCTCCCTAAACCCCTTCTTGCAAATTCCCCTAAACCCTTCCTTGCAGGTCCTTCCCTAAACCCTCCCTTCCAGATCCTCCCTAAACCCCTTTCTGCAAATTCCCCTAAACCCGCAGGTCCTTCCCCAACCCTCCCTTGCACATCGCAATTCTCCCCTAAACCCTCGCTTGCAGCTCCTCCCCAAAACCCTCCCTTCCAGATCCTCCCTAAACCCCTTTCTGCAAATTCCCCTAAACCCTTCCTTGCACGTCCTTCCCTAAACCCTCCCTTCCAGATCCTCCCTAGATCCCTTTCTGCAAAGTCCCCAAAACCCTCCCTTGCAGGTCCTTCCCCAACCCTCCCTTGCAGATCCTCCCGTTTTCCAAATCCAACTGCTATGCAACGAGCAAGTTTCAAGCCTGCCGGCACGGTTTGTGCAATTTTGACATAAGCCATTTTTTTCGAGCTTTGCACGGCTTGGATTAAGTCATGCATTCTGGTTTTGGGCGTTTCGAGATCTGCGCCTTAGTTTCCAATAGGAAAGGCTAGGCCAAAAAGCAATTCCTGGCCTGCAGTGCACGGTATGTGCAGTTTCGGGCATAAGTCGTTGTTTTTCGAACTTTGGTCGGCTTGGTTTTGCCCTCCTACATTCTGGTTTCGTGCATTGTGACTCAGTTTCCAATAGAAATGGCTATGCCACAAAGAAGTTCCAGGCCTGCAGGCACGGTATGTGCAATTTTTGACATAAGCAATTTTTTTCGAACTTTAAACGGCTTGGATTACGTCATGCATTCTGGTTTTGGGCGTTTCGAGATCTGCGCCTTAATTTCCAATAGGAGCGGCTATGCCAAACAGAAGTTCCAGGCCTGCGGTGCACGGTATGTATCGGTATGTGCAGTTTTTGGCATAAGCAATCTTTTTCGAACTTTGGACGGCTTGGTTTTTGACCTCGTACATTCTGGTTTCGTGCGTTGTGCCTAGTTTCCAATAGGAACGGTCTTTCAAGCGGCTCTGCACATACCCGGCCTTGCAGGCCTGGAACTTGCTCCTTGCCGAACAGCTCCTATTGGAAACTAGGGCACACAACTGCAAACGCACGAAACCAGAATGTACAAGGCAAAACCAAGCCGACCAAAGTTCGAAAAAAATGGCTTATGCCAAAAACTGCACATGCCGATGCAACCGTGCACTGCAGGCCTGGAACTTCTTTTTGGCATAGCCGCTCCTATTGGAAACTAAGGCACCACCAGAATGTACAAGGCAAAACCACCAAGCCGACCAAAGTTCGAAAAAAATGGCTTATGCCGAAAACTGCACATACCGATACAACCGTGCGCTACAGGCCTGGAACTTCTTTTTGGCATAGCCGCTCCTATTGGAAACTAAGGCACAACCAGAATGTACAAGGCAAAACCACCAAGCCGACCAAAGTTCGAAAAAAATGGCTTATGCCAAAAACGGCACATGCCGATACGACCGTGCACTGCAAGCCTGGAACTTCTTTTTGGCATAGCCGTTCCTATTGGAAACTAAGGCACAACCAGAATGTACAAGGCAAAACCACCAAGCCGACCAAAGTTCGAAAAAATGGCTTATGCCAAAAACGGCACATACCGATACGACCGTGCACTGCAGGCCTGGAACTTCGTTTTGGCATAGCCGTTCCTATTGGAAACTAAGGCACAACGCGCGAAACCAGAATGCACAAGGCAAAACCACCAACCCGACCAAAGTTCGAAAAAAATGGCTTATGCCAAAACTGCACATACCGATACGACCGTGCACTGCAAGCCTGGAACTTCTTTTTGGCATAGCCGTTCCTATTGGAAACTAAGGCACAACGCGCAAAACCAGAATGTACGCTACCAAGCCGACCAAAGTTCGAAAAAGATGGCTTATGCCAAAACCTGCACATACCGTGTCTCGCCCCCAGAATCGTGTGTGCTAAGTCAGGCAAACAACTAACGCGCGTACGCTCCCACTCCCACAACGACACACTCACATCGAACTCTTCCTCTTTCTTCCTCTCTCTCGCTCTCCTCCCGTCTCTTTCTCCTCTTTCTCTTTCTTTCTCTCTCTACCTGCGGACCTGTCAGTCACACGTCATGGTTTACCGATCCTGACAAACATGCTCTTACTCAGACATGTGGATGAGCTCAGGGCAGGTGAACCGCCTCCGCTGGATGATCAAGCTTGAGCAGCTCCAGGTGGTCAAGGCGTAGCAAGCCAACAAACATGCGCTTACTCCGACATGTGGATGAGCTCCGGGCAGGTGAACCGCCTCCGCTGGATGATCAAGCTTCAGCAGCTCCAGGTAGGTCAGGGCGTAGCAAGCCAGCAACCTGATCAAGGATGTGTCCGACAAAACGAAATCTGTGCCACGTCCAGCGAGCGTACAGTGCTGCTCAAAGCAACGAGGCCTTTAGAGAGGACGTACAAGACTTGCACGGTTGAAGGTCTCCTGCTTGGCGAAAGCGTTCACGTTCAGTGCTGGTCAAAACAACGAGGCCTTTAGAGAGGTCGTACATCTGCACGCTGTGGAATGTCTCATGCTGGGCGAAGGCCTTCACAAACGGCAGTAGCAGGCTGGCACAGAAAGAAAGGCGAGTGACACCCAGGAGCCTTCTTGAGGACTGAAGCATTCGGACCTGAGCGCAGGCTTTGCCGTGCTTCAGAGAGGATCTGAAGTCGCCACTACGGAACTAACCTCGTTGCCTCGTTGCCGCCGAAGATGTACAGTTTGCTTGCACAACCTGAACCATCCCAAGCAAGAGCCCGCACAGCACCAGTGAAGCAGCTACAGGGTCCCAGCTTGCCGAGTTGAGCGTGCCCCGGACGAAGGTCTCCAGCATCTTGCGGATCCGAATCCAGCGAGCGACACAGCTGTTCAAAAACAACGAGGCCTGTAAGAGGTCTCCCCAGCGGTCCACCAGCATTTTTCGAGTCCTAGCAAACATGCTCCAACTTCTGTTTTTCTTCAACTTCTCCCTCCGAAGCCTCCTTCCAGACGCACGTTGCATCGAAACCTTGGCAAGTGACCGCAAGGCGGACAGACTTCTTGGCAACAAGGGTTGCTCCCAAAGGACTGCGTGCAAAAACAGCATGTCTCCAAAACATGCCTTCAAATCTTTCCGCAAACTGCCTGAAAGCAACGTGTTGCACAAAAACGTCTTTAGATAGAGGACATGCGCTCAAAAACAGCAATTGCGGAAATTCTGCCTAACAAATCTGCCCAGTTGAACAGATTCACACATATGGTTGCGGAAACTGTCCTCCCTAACGCTTCCTGCAATCTCACTACAACAATCATGATGCCGACGCTCACGTCTGCTGTTTTGATTTGCGTCAAGGCCAGTTACAAGCCCTGTCTGAAAGCTTCTAGAATCTCCGGCGGTGTTCGCCACACTGGCGATGACAATGCGTCGCTCTGCGAACTGGAGACGGCTTGAGCACTCTGAGATCGGAAAGCTGCGTGGATCTCCGGCGGCGTTTCCCAATGAGGCGACAAGAGCCGAGAATTTTCTGGCGATGTAGGAGGTGGGCCTAGCGGTGTCCACGGCTGCGCAAGCTCCTCGTCCAAATGTTCAAGCGGTGCTGCTGTCCGCGGCGGTGTCCACGCAGGCCAGGACTCCCCAAACGAAGCTTCCGCCGGCGACCCCGGCGGAGTCCACGGCTGCGCAAGCGTCGATGTCGGATGCTCTCCGAACTCCGCAGACCACGAATGAGGCAGAGAGAGCGGTCGCGCCGCATGCACAGCTGGTTCCGAAGCCACTGGAGGGGCCGCTTCGGACGGAGTCGAAGCCAGTGGATGCTCGGCTTTCCGCTTCCGGCCAACCTGGCAGAAACTAGAACCTTCGGAACAAACCCGAAGATTTCGAACACGTACAACCCTACGCACACCTAATGCTTTGGGCACCAAGGCACAGCCTCCGAGCTCTCCAAAGGGCAAGTCCGCGCAAGAGCTTCCTCGAAGTCCACTAGCTCAGAATCAATGCCTGGATTTTGCTTGACGTACTCCTGGTAGTTGTCATTGATCCACCTGCTGTAACAGCCCTTGCAACGGTAGCAAAGTTTCAGCTTGTTGTCACGCAGTTCCTGCGGCAAAGCATACTTGAAGTGCCACCTCAGCTGAAACCTGTTGTGAAAAGCAAGGCGCTCGGCTTCATCAATCTCGCCTTTAGCAGTTCGCGGCTGCACCTTCGCTTGACAAGTCATGATGACCGGCGGGGGCGAATGCACCAGGACAGAACCGGCCCCCTTCACGGCAGCAGTGACGCTCTCGCCCTCCAGTAGCAGCAACAACGTGTCCCACGGTATGGGGGAGGAACTCAGCCGCCAGTCCTGGAAGACCGTGATGAGGTGCTGCTCAAGCCCCATAAGGGGGAACGTATCTCCCTTATTGGGCCGCAAGAAGGTGCGATTCTCGAAGATGTGCATCAAAGGCCTTGTCAAACCAGTCTTCCCAGAGTTGGACTCACCATAAAGCAAGATGTTGTTGTTCTTGGCCGCAGTCCCCAGCTTGAGAAGACGCAGGATGCAGAACGCGAACCTGCCTGCACTCTTTCCATGATGCTCCAACAAGTTGTCCAAAGCTTCGCGCAACCTGGAGGGCTCATAGCACACACAAGCCTCTTGACTGGCAGCTGCCCAAAGCCGCAGACGCTCCTCGCGTTGTTTGGGCGTGGTTGTCTCTGTCAACATCATCTGCCAGGATAAGAACAGGGGCTGCATCTTCGGCCCCTGCCGCGCCATGAACTCCTGGAACTTGCCATTGCCACGCTGACGCTGCTGCTCAGCCCATTCTATGAGCTCCTGGTACGAAGTCAACCGTGGACGCAAGTTCCGAAGCGCATTGAACATGTCACTTGGCCGGAAAGAAGCACTCGAATACTTACGCATCTTGCTTTCCATCTGTTCCAAGGGGAAGGTCGAAGAGAAGTAAGGATCGCCATCGAGTTCAGAATGGCTTTTCTTGAAGCTCGGACAAAGTACATAGCGAAGAATGCGCCATATATCAGCATGGAACTGTGGCAAAGCCAGGCGGCCATAAAAGCCACGCTCCCGCAAGTTCTTGGCCACAGCTTTCCACTTCACACGACGACTCAGCTTTAGCACTGCATGCCAATGCCATGTTCTCTCCCATCTTCGTGAAGAGCTGGCATGCTGCTCTGCCACAACGCAGTAGTACGCAATGGAATCTGCACCGTACACCTGCTTCAGAGCCTTGCCCAAGCATTTCTTGCCATGATCCGTGGCAGTAATGGCATCTGGCTTGTTCGAGTGAGGAAACGTCCAGAAGTGCACTGTGCTTCCTGCGTACCTGACACAAACTACGCGGCCCGACACAGCAACAAGTTTCTCCGAAAACAAAGCTCCTTCCAACTTCTTTGCCAAGCGGCTTGATTTGCTTAGTCACACATCGCAAATCCGCAAACTGATCCACAGGGCCGTCAGCCTCCTCAGAACTGCTCTGCTCCGCAGCAAAAACATCATCATGCGCGGCAAGGCTCACTTCAGAGACTTCAGAGCTTTCGTCGCAGGAGTCCGGGGCCGCAGATGAGTCCGAAGACGAGCTACTATTGGAGCTGGAGGTGCTGCCAGCAGTCAACCGCCCATCAGAAGACATGCCATGGACCCCTTCGCCGCCATGGCTCCACGTCCTGTGAGTCCGACTGATTTTGCTAATTGCATAGCCAGACGCCTGCGGCTGCACAACACGGGGTCTTTGCAGACAGCATATTTCCCCGGCCCTCCCGTACCCACCGGAACAAAGATGAATGTCACGTTCGCAGCTTTGAACAGCGCAAAAAGTCTTTGAGAACGCCGCTCTTGCTTTCCAGGCCATTGAACAGGATGCGCAACGTAACAGCCTGCAGCAAGCCCGAAGCAGTCTAAACTCCAAGCTCTTTATTTCGATTTGCATGACCGCGGAATCCACAAGCACATCATGCCTCAACAAAGCGTTAGAGCAACGGGGCAAAGTCTGAGTCTTTGCCAACACTTCCGAATTGCGGAAGCACGCCCGCAAAGCACATTTAGGCGCAACTGAACAAACGTAGACGACACAGGCTTGCAGAGATTTGAGCTCATGAACCTGTAACTTCATCTTTGTTTTGTGGGGGTAAGGGGAGTGCCGTCACTTCGATATGATGACTGATGCACAGCGTGCATATGGCACTCTCAGCTTCTGCATTCAAGGGCAAAGGTGCCTCCCAATCTGACTCTTCTCCACGAGCAGCGATAAATAGTCTCCCACATGTTAGACATGCAATCCGGTCTGCTGTCACATGCATCGTTTTGCATACATGCACGAGCAGTGTATTGCCAAGCGCCAAAATACATCCGACGAACACCCAAACACTTGCAACATCCGGCTGCGACCTTAGATGCGGCTTTTGGCTGCGATGTTGTAGCAACTTGTCAAAAAAATCCGGCTACGACCTTAGAGACGGCTTGTGCCTGCGATGGTTGACAAATGTGGCCAACAGTGTTTTGCGCAGTAGCAAATCCCCTGTGCAGCACGAGTACTGTGTTACCCAGAGCCAAAATACATCCACGAACATCCAAACGGGTAGAACGTCCGGCTAGGACCTTAGATACCGCCCTTGGCTGCGATGTTTCAACCAATTTGTCATAGCATGTTTCTCGCCTTCGCAAATGCCATATCCGGCACGAGCCGTATGTTACCGCGCAGCAAAATGCATCCAACGAGTATCCATGCGCTTGAAGCGTCCGGCTACAACCTTAGATACGGCTTTCGGCTGCGATGTTTCAGAAATTTGGCAAAATGTGTTGCGCGCATTAGCAGATGCCATACATCGCACGAACAGTGTGTTACCAAGCACGAAAATGCATCCAACGAGTATCCAAGCGCTTGAAACGTCCAGCTACAACCTTAGATACGGCTTTCGGCTGCGATGTTTCAGAAATTTGGCAAAATGTGTTGCGCGCATTAGCAGATGCCATACATCGCACGAACAGTGTGTTACCAAGCACCAAAATGCATCCAACGAGTTTCCAAGCGCTTGAATAGATGATAGCTTTGTAGCCTTTCCAACAAACCACAGTAAGAACATTCAGATGTGCCCTCGTACTGACTTCGATTACTCGCAGCATCAAGGCAACCAACGTGTCTGATGCGGTTTAAAGCAGCACTCAGATCTCTGTTGGCGGGTGAAGACTCCGACACTTCCCAGAGACTCCAAAACCCCTCAACTAAGGAATTGACCGTAAGTCTAGTTAGGGTTCCTGTCTAAGTTACACTGCATTCCTTAGTTAAGGGGTTTTGGAGTCTCTGGGTCTGGGCTACTGAGAGGCGTGCCGTCCAGATGATAGCTTCGTAGCCTTTTCAGCAAACCACAGTAAGAACATTCAGATGTGCTTCCCTTCGATTACTCTCGCAGCATCCAGGGCAACCAACGTGTCTGAAGCGGTTTAAAGCAGCGCTCAGATCTCTATTGGCGGGTGAACACTCCGACACTTCCCAGAGACTCCAAAACCCCTCAACTAAGGAATTGACCGTAAATCTAATTAGGGTTCCTATCTAATTTAGACTGTATTCCTTAGTTAAAGGGTTTTGGAGTCTCTGGGTCTGGGCTACTGAGAGGCGTGCCGTCCAGATGATAGCTTCGCAGCCTTTTCAGCAAACCACAGTAAGAACATTCAGATGTGCTTCTCTCGTACTGACGTCGATTACTCTCACAGCATCCAGGACAACCAACGTGTCTGATGCGGTTTAAAGCAGCGCTCAGATCTCTATTGGCGGGTGAACACTCCGACACTTCCCAGAGACTCCAAAACCCCTGAATTAAGGAATTGACCGTAAATCTAATTAGGGTTCCTGTCTAATTTAAACTGTATTCCTTAGTTAAAGGGTTTTGGAGTCTCTGGGTTTGGGCTATTCTGCATCTCAATGATTCAATGATAGGAAGAGCAGACAGTGAAGGAGCGAAAAAGCCCCCTGAGAAGGGGGCCGGCCAAAGCAGCCCGCATCTAATTCCGGCTCTACAAGGTGACTCCAGATGGAGCTTGGATATCTCTGCGGCAGGGAAACCCCCAAAAAATCCTGAGCTGCATTACGGACTCCAAGCTTTTACTTCCAGCTCTCAGCCCTCAAAAGTCCACAGCTGTGGTGCCGACGCTGGACTTTTGCTTAGAAACCTGAGCCCTGAACCCCAAAACACCATCAGCCCAAAATCCCCTGAACCTCTGTCTTTGGGGCCGGGCCTCACTGCCCTGCGGCGTCCGGCTGTGTGTGCTTGCCTGTGCTTGTCTGTACTTGCTGCCTTCCTAAGATGTGGTAGCTGTCTGTCTGTTGTCTTCCTTCGAAATGTGCGCTTGAAAGATGTGTAAACCAACCCTACAAAGGTTACATGCTGTCACAGCATCATCCAGCACATCGCGCACCCCCGACGGTGCTCAAACAGGCTGCTGCAATCTACTGCTCTGGGCTGGCAGACACACGCACGCAAACAACACAACACACATGAGCTCGTGTGTGTCCGATTGCTACGCATGTTTTTGCCACAAGCTGTCGTTAGTGCAATCCAGACTGCGAGTATACACTGTTGCGGGCGGCCACAACACGTACTTCCCACGGCTTCTGGCCCAAGTCTTGGAAAACATAAAGACATCGATGCGAAACCCAACAGCTAGCAGCTTCGGAGGCTATGCTCACAATCAAGCCCTAGGTTTTTGGACATCAGATGTTGGGATGGGAGCATACCGTTACTGTGAAACGCATGGCGCCAATCCCTCTGTACAGAAGACTGCGAGTATACACTGTTGCGGGCGGCCACAACACGTACTTCCCACGGCTTTTGGCCCAAGTCTTGGAAAACATAAAGACATCGATGCGACACCCAACAGCTAGCAGCTTCGGAGGCTATGCTCACAATCAAGCCCTAGGTTTTTGGACATCAGATGTTGGGATGGGAGCATACCGTTACTGTGAAACGCATGGCGCCAATCCCTCTGTACAGAAACATCAGCTATGTCAACAAGAACGCCTTGCCATCACAGGCTGCTTTGCTGCAGCTTGGAGCTACTGTACCTTTCCGGCTTAGCCCTGCTGTTGCACAGCTGCCGCTTGGGCGCCCTGCTGTTGCACAGCTGCCGCTTGGGCGTCTTTCGCCTGTACAAGCAGCAGAAGTTCCTCACGGCTCAAGAGCTTTGCTGCCTGGCACCCAAGTCCGATGCAACCACAGGGGCAGAAATGAAATCCCAGAGCATGGCAGAAACCTTGAGCAGCTTCCCCTTCCGCTTTTCAGCTTGCTTGCTTCTCTCCCTGTTGTGCTTGATGGCCTCAGGTGCAGGCTCACGCACTAAGATGTGTGCACCACCCTGCTTTCGACCAGTCTTGACACCGGGCCACCAGCCTGACGGAGCTGTGCTCGCTGCGTTTTCAACGCCTCCAATTCTCGCTTCAGCACCTGCAAACATGACCGAATGGGACACCTCAAAGAAGGTCCAAAAATGCACGGAAAGCTGGGCCCGGCCATAGGGGCCTCCACAGTCAACGCAACAGCTTGTTGCCGCACGAGACTCTTCTAATCCAGGGTGCGAATATACTCTGCTGTGGGCGACCACAACACATACTTCGCAGGGTTGCCGGCCCAATTTTTGGGGAACAGGAACCGCGCAGCGGCATCGATGCGAGGCGCAACAGCTGGCAACTCTGGGGGCTGTGTCCACTCCAGCGCTTCCATGAGCCTTCTAGAAAGCAGCTGCTGGGATTGGAGCAGACCGTTACTTTCAAACGCATGGCGCCAATCTCTCTGTACAGCAGCATTTATTGCTGCGTCTACCGCCTGCAACCATGTGAAAGAAGCAACGTTGCCATCACAAGCTTCGCTGCGACGCAGCCGCCACTGCTCGCGATAGGCTGCCTTGAAAGAACTGAAGCAGTGAGTGTCCAGAGGCTGTAAGTATGGAGTCATGCCTGGCGGAACGTACAAAAGGTGGATGTTGTTTCGGTACGCTGCATTGAAAATGGAGTCGTGCAAATGCGCCGGCGCCAGATCGAGGACCAGGTACACGGCACGGGCACTGCAGAGATCACCAAGGCGGCGACAAAGTAAGTCTATGTACCTTCTCATGACGCGATGCGTCATCCAAGAGGACGTCTCCCTCCACAGCACCAAGTTTGGGCACAGGCTTTTCGCTTCCTTCATGAGCTTTAAGGAGAAGCGACGCCTGTTGCCCAGTAATACTTGGGGCAGTTGCCGCTGCAGGTCCGCCTCGTGCACGATTGCAGAGATGTACGTCACGCACCCACGCCGGTCCTGCAGCCGTGAGCAATCTCTTGCTCGCTTGGAGGCT